CCAACCCAAATGCCCATCAATATAGACTGGACAAGGAAAATGTGGCACATATACACCATGGAATACTATGCAGCCATAAAAAACAATAAGTTCGTATCCTTTGCAGGGACATGGATGAAGCTGGAAACCACCATTCTTAGCAAACTGACAAAAGAACAGAAAATCAAACACCACATGTTCTCACTCAAAGGAGGGTATTGAACAATGAGAACACATGGACACGGGAGAGGAGCATCATACACTGGGATCTGTTGGGGGAGGCTAGGGGAGGGACCATGGGGGGAGAGGAGGTTGGGGAGAGATAACATGGGGAGAAATGCTAGATATAGGTGAGGGGGTGATGGAGGCAGCAAACTACATTGCCATGCACGTACCTATGCAACAATCCTGCATGATCTGCACATGTACCCCAGAACCTAAAGTATAATTTTAAAAAAATCATTACCAAAAAAAAGATAGCCAGTTTTTCTTGAGGCCAAGAAAAGGAGAAAAGCAGCTCAGAATTAAGGCACAGTGTGTGCAGAGGTGCAAAAGTCTGAGAGAAAATGCAAACAACTCACTATGATTCGATTCTGGAGTAAGCGAGGGCCAGTGGCAAGCATCGAGCTGGAAAGGTAACCTGGGGCTGGATGATGCAGGGCTTTGAATCTCAAATTCATCAACAGGGACTATATTTTATGTATGTATGTATGTATGTATGTATGTATGTATGTATGTATGTATGTATCTTTTCAGATGGAGTTTTTATCTTGTTGCCTAGGCTGGAGTATGGCATGATCTCAGCTTACTGCAGCTTCCTCCTCCCAGGTTCAAGCAATTCTCCTGCTTTAGTCTCCCAAGTGGCTGGGATTACAGGTACTCACCGCCACACAAGGCTAATTTTTTGTATTTTTAGTAGAGATGGGGTTTCACCACCTCTATTTTTAGTAGAGTTGTTGGCCAGGCTGGTCTTGAACTCCTGGCCTCAGGTGATTTGTCTGCCTCGGCCTCCCAGAGTGCTGGAATTATAGGCATGAGCCACCGCACTTGGCCTAGGACTTTATTCTAAAGGTCAGTGGGAACAACTGAGGGTTTTGATTAGGAGAGACGAATCACTCAGGGATATAGCAGAAAGAGATGACACAGAGGAGAGTAATTTGAGGAGTTTTATGAAGGGACTATTTATTAAGGTTTGGCCAGCATGTAGTAACACTACTAGGTGTAATGCTCTATGCAGAGCAAGTGACATCAGGGCTCAGAGAAGGAAGGGATTCAGAAGGAGCAGTTGCTGAAGCCATGAGAAGGTCAGCTTGGAAGACGCTGTGGCCTTTGGTTGGAGTGAGGAGGCTAGGGCATAAATACTCCAACCTCACTCTCCAACTTCCTGTAGGTTCCCCACATTGGGCAAACCGAACAAAAGCCAGAGGCCAAGGGAAACCATTGCCATGGCCCATGTGGGTCAGCCTCCCAGAGGAAAAAGCAGTATAGGGAACGGTGGAGAGTGGATCAGAGGGGCAGACGAAAGACGTCCTGCTTGAGTGGTGTGATTGGATGAGCTGTTCAGCAAGACCATCTGGACAGAGTGGAGAATCAAAGAGTCAGAGCGAGGAGGACAGGAAGAGAGTATAGGATCTGAACCAGGCATCATCATGGAAATGGGGAGGAAGAGAAGGATTCGAGGTAGCACAGGAACAAAGGAGGAGGGAGGCTGGATGGATGGTGGCACCATCAACTAGCAGCAGGAGCCTCTAAGAGAAGGCACAGCTACTGGACAAAGAAATTGCTCTTTTCTAGCCAGCGAAGGTTGCTGCAAGTGTTGCTTCCTGTGTCCCTGCGCTGAGCAGAATCACAGCAGTTTCTGATGTCCTTCTCCTTCCATTTCTGTGCCTTTTTCTTTACCACTCAGCAGCTCCTGAGCAGCCGCCCTCCTCAAAGTCCCCAGGCTGCAAAAGGATTTCTCTGCCCTACCTCTCTCCCCTGTCCACCAGTCAAACCACCTGTCCTAACAAGAAAAAATAATTCCAATAAAAAGTGAGTGACTGCTAGCTCTCTGTGCACAGAACTGCAAATTTTTAAAGGATCTACTGTGATGAATCTCTAAGAGACTAAGAAGGAGATTTTTACTTTTAACTCTGGACACTCCCAGGGACACTCTGAAGCTCCAATTCCACCCAGTTCCCTCCTCTTCAAAAGAACACAGTGCCTACTCAAAAATGTGGCAATCTCTCATCTGGCATTATGTATTTACTCAGGACTGTCAACGGTGGGTGCAAATTTTTAAGTTTCGCTTCTACTAAGTCTAGTACATTTGGAGACAGGGTAGACCTAGGCAGATTCTAAAACAACAAGGCAACTTCAGTCACTTTTGACAACAGGGTCTCCACGGGTGCCCTCTCCCTTACCCAGTGAAATTGTATTGTTCCACCCACGGAGCTGCCTTAGTGAGAGATAAGGCCCCAGCAATGGAAGGGTAATGCAAGGTGCTGGAGAGGGAGGCTGTGTTGCTAGGTAGCCAGCTGCTGTCCTGCGGTTGCCCTGGTGATGATGGTTTGTGTGTACAAGGGGGTGCCTGATGGTTACTTGCCGAGTATCTGTATAAGCAGACTGGACTTTTCCACCACGATACATTCCTTGAAACCATGTCATAATGTGGTTCATCATAATTTCCCAGAGGAGCAGGATTTGTTCTCCTCAAGGGGTTGCATTCCTGCCCAAAGATGCAGCCGGAGATAAATCATAACTGTGATCAACAATCTGTCGTAAGCAGAAGGCACAAGTGCCCAAATATCATCAGTGAGTTCCAGGGCTAAAATTATACTCCAAGGCTCACCACAAAGCTATCACTTATTCTGTGTGAAGCCCTGCGTACCATGCTCACTCGTTCACTCATTCATTGATTCATTCGGAGACTGCAGGGGTCACTGCAGTTCCCCCACCCAACATCTATTCCACCTCGGATGATTAATCTTCTTAGCCAGGGTAATGGGTTGAATCGTCTTCCTTAAAAAACATATGTCAGCATCCTAACCTCCAGCACTTCAGAATGTAACCTTATTTGGAAATAGGGTATTTACAGAGAAAATCAAGTTGAAATGAGGCAATTTGGACTAATGGGACTTAATCTGACTGGTATTGTTATGAAAAGGAGAAATTTGGACACACAGACAGGGAAGCTGATGTGAAGACACAGAGAAGGCCATGTGAAGACAGAGGGTTGGAACCATACATCTAAGAGCCACAAAGACCAAGACTTGCCAGCGAACCACCAGAAGCTAGGAAGAGGCAAGGGAGGATTCCCCTGCAGCCTTCAGAGAAAGTATGGCCCTCCTGACACCTCAAGTTTGGACTTCCAGCCTCCAGCTGTGTGAGAAAATACATTTCCATTTCTTCAAGCCACCTGGTGCATGGTGCTTAGTTACACAGCACTGGGAAACCATGTGGCCAACCATGGTAGCCCCATCCTGTTAGCCCCGTCCTTGCCAAAGAACCATAAGAGGAAGACTGCTGGGCTGGATTCGGAGAAAGGCTTGTGCTCTTTCCCCCACCTGTGCCTAGATGTGACTCAGGTAGTTGCTGTGGCCATCTTATGGGAGCCTAAGTAACAAAGCCCTCATCAAAAAGTGCAGAGAGTGGCTGGAAAGAACCTAGTGGCAGAGGACCTTGTTGAGTGGCCATTTCAGCTGAGCTGCTTGCCCTGCCTCTGCACTTCCTGTTATGTGAAACAATCCATTTCCCTGTGTGGGTAAACCAGAAGTGGGAGTGAAGCCCCCCAACTGACACGTGTCTGTGGATCGACTGCGTGTGCTCAGCAGTTCTCCCTGCTACCTCCCTCTCATGCTACCTGAGCCTCAGCCCCTTCCCAACCTCTATCCTGCACTTCAGTTATTTCCGTTATTGATTGTGGGTAACTTTGCAAAGATGACTGTAATGATTCTCCTCTCTCTCTGTGCACTTTATGATACGACTTTACTATTTCTCCTACCAAGCAGTGGAGTTTATTTCTTCATCCCTTGAATCTAGGCTTGAATCCATGTGACTTGCTGTGGAAATGAGCAAATGAGACACAGGTAGATGCTTAAGAAGCACTCACTTATCAGGACTTGCTCTTCTGGCTACAATGGGAGCCCTGGGATTGGGATAGGCCTGAGCTAGCCTGCTGGACAGGCCATGTGGAGGCCAGCCAAGGTGCTCCAGCTGACAGCCAGCACTAACTGCTAGATGCATGAGTAAAGCCACCTCAGAAAATCTAGCCTTAGTCACACTGCCAGGAACTGCGACCGTATGAATCATCCCAGGTGAGCCAAGCCCAGCTGCAACCACAAGACCTATAGCAAATAAAATGGCTGCTGTCTTAAGCCACAAAGTTTTGGGGTGGTTTATTACACAGCAATAACTACTGGCTACACTGACAATCTGACACAGCCCTCTCAAGTTCATTCACATGCCAGTCACTGTAGAGGCACTGTGGGTGCAGCCATGAGAAAGAACCCACATGGTCTCTGCTGTCTTAGGACACTTATGACATTATCACATACCAGACACTATGCCAAAGGCTTTCCAGGCATTAATCCAGATGAGAATGTTACAGTATCACCACCATCTTCCCGACGAGGAAACCAAATCTCAGAGGAGGGAAAGAAATTGCTCAAAGTGGCAGACGGTATTCTCTAAAGGCGGCTGCAACAGTATCTGCCATCTAATATGCTCCACCTGGACATTGCCATGGCCCTATTAAGAGAATCTAATGCCCTTCTTGAATCTGGGGGGGGCTTTGATGGTAAACCAATAGAATGAAGCAGAAGTGACCTACCATGACATCTGAGGCTTAGTCATAAAAGAGGCTACAATTTCCGTCTTGTGAGCTGGGGCACTTGCCTTTGTTTTTTCTTTTTATGGAGACAGGGTCTTGCTATGTTGCCCACGCTGGTCTCAAACTCCTGACCTCAAGCAATCCTGTCTCTCCAGCCTCACAGATTGCTGGGATTATAGGCATGAGCCACCATGCCCAGCCTGGCACTTACCTTTGAAGCCCGAACTTACAAGAAAGAAGTCTGGCTATGCAAGGTCACCATGCTATGAGAAATCCTAGCACACACAGAAAGCTCACATGCAGGTGTTCCAGTCTAGGTGGAAATCCAGGTGATTCTTGTCCCCAGCTGTTGACTCATCCCCAGATGTTGAACCTTCCCCTTGAGACCCAGATATCACAGAGAAACCCTGTCCCCACTGTGCCCTGTCCAACCCGCAGAATGAATGACCATATGAAACAGATGTTCGACTCCCTTGGTTTTTAGAGTGGCTTGTTACACCAACAGAAGCTAGAATACCTACGTTTACATTGCTAGGTAACAGGAAGCGGAGTGAAGACAGACTCTGAACTCTAGCAGTTTAACTCCTGAATCTGAGCTCCTAATTACTCCTGCGTTCTCTCCCCCTCTTCTCTGCAATCCTTTTGCTCCCACACTCTTCCCTTACCAGAAGAGAAGCATGGTACCCTGATGCCACCACACCATCACTAGAAACCGCTCCTTTCCCCAAACACTGGCTCAAAGAGGCAGGAGGAAAGGAACAGGTGTGCTTCTTACTCTGCGGTTTCCATGCCCCCGCCCTCCATGGCATCTCCTTTTTATAAGTTCAGTCACCTTCTCTTAACTTGACTCTGTGAAAACATTCTCCTAACCTTTAGGACATGGTCCCCCCTTCCTCAAACATTTCAGTTCCTGCTTCACAGGTGCCCTCTGCTCCCCCATCAAAGCCACATGAAAAAAGTGTGCCTACTATGTGAACTTCCAATGGATCAGTCACGAGGTAGGGATATAACATTGAGTGAGCTTCATATCTGTTTCCTATGGCTGCTGTAACAAATTGCCACAAACTTGGAGGCTTACAACAATGCAGACTTATTATCTCACAGTCTTAAACAACAGAGGTCCAAAATGGGTCTCACTGTGCTAAAATTAAGGTGTTGGCAGGGTTGCGTCTTCCTGGATTTCATTCCCTCCCCTTTTCCAGCTCCAGGGGCTGCCTGCATTCCTTGCCCTTTCCTCTGCCTTCAAAGCCATCAGCACATCTTCAAATCTCTGACTCTCCTGCCTCCCTCTTCCACTTCTAAGGACCTTTGTGATGACATTGGGCCCACCCAGATTATCCAGGAAAACATCCCCATCTCAGGAGTCTCAGTTTCATCCCGTCTGCAAGCTCCTTGTGCATGTAAGGTGACATAGTCACAGGTTCTGGGATTGGGACACAGACATCACTGGGGAGACCATCATTCTGCCGACCCCAGGTTTTTTGATGAAGCATCCCCTTGGGTGAGGTTATATATTTACAGCCGAAACTGCCATTCCTCACCTACATGCATCTTCTCTTTTCTGGACACACACTTCCTTTCCTTGCTGTCAAGCACGACAACGACACCACTGTCTATCAGAGAACAGAGTTCTGGCCAATGGAGTGTGGGTGGAAGAGATGGGCAGTGCTTGCAGGGCAGGCCACATGACCACCTCAGACAGACGCGTCCCTTTGCCCATCCATGAGCTGAGTGAAGAGGACCCAGAGGGAGGTAGAACCACAGGATGGAAGAAGTCAGGGGCCCTGATGACACTGGAACAGTCTCCCTGCTGACCCACTTTGTATTTTGACATGAATAAATAACAAATGAAGACACTGACATTTGAAGGTTGGTTGTTACTGATTTTAGTCTACACTGGCAATATATAGCTATAAAAGTGTCCTTGAAAAGAATTTGCATACACATACTTCATAAATGTTATATGGTACTAAATTTTGTAAATAAATATAGCATTTGCTTATTTTCATAAGTTGGTCTATGACATAAACCAACTTGTTCAAGTGAACAAGAAGTTTCCTTGACCAATAATAACAAAACGAAATCAGGGATTCTGCTACTCAGCTGCAGCCAGCCCTCTGCATATGATTTATCTCCGTGTTTTGCATTGACTGCTTACACAATATTGACAGAGTTCTGATGAACATAAATTAGTAACTGTACATTATGGTAACAAGAATTTTTTAACTTGTTGTAAGCTCCAGAAACTCTTCAATAAACACAAATTTTTAGAAACGCTTGATTCCGAGGTCGACACAGGAACTAGTTAACTGCGCACCAGGAGTAAGTGTTTGAGAGAGCTCACACAGATTTATTTACTCATTGTTTGCTTTCAAAAGGATCAAAGATGATTTACCCAAAAACCTGCAGGAAAAATGAAACCAAACCAGGCAAGCAAGAATAACAAGATATGAGCCCAGTGGTCAAGCACCTGGAGTTAGGGATTATGTGGGCCAAGGTGCAAGAGAGACGGGGAGAGAAAGAGGTAGGCTGGGAGATGCTTGGGGAGGGGTGGGCAAAAACATTCCCTGTGTTCTTGGAAATGTCATATATTCTCCAAAATCGTCCTCATAAGCAAATGACCAAAGGGCGCCACAACTAGATGATCATGTGTCTGGCTAGAGTGAGAGCTGAGGGTTCCTTATAGTTGTTCATCAGAGTCTGGCCTCCCCGGTGCTAGTATATACAGACGTGAAAAGAGGCTGGGACCCCAGGGCAGTCACTCAAAGCTGAGATCAGCATTGGTACAGACATTAGGTGAAGAACCCGTTTCCTCTGCACTATGCCCATTGCTGCCAGAAGCCATAGAAGGTTCTAGAAGCCCTGCCAATGGCCAAGCAAGACAAGTCTGAGAACTGGCCCCACTGTGGAACTCAGTACTGCAGGAAAAGCTATTTCTCCCAGACTGGCCTGGGCAGCTCACACACCTGCCGAGTCTCTGCTGCACCAGGAAGAAAGCTGGTGGGGAGGAAGGCCACTCCCATTAACCAAGCACCTATTTTGTGCCAAGCAGCACACTATGCCCATTGCACATATTTCAGTTTGAACAGCAACACTGTGTGTGTGGGAGGTACTTTTAACCCCTGATTTAGAGATAGGGGAATTGAGCCTCAGCAAGATTAGAGAAGTCAGCCCCAAGAGCACGTGGCCATTCATGGCACAGCTGGGATTTGAGCCCGCCCTGCCCTGAGCCAATGCCCATGTGCTCAGACAGCTGCCAGGAGGCTCCAGCTGCAGCCATCAGGCTGCACACACCATGACGGTCAGGTCACCCCCTCTTAACTTGGCTCTGACAGAAATAGACGAGAGTAGGGAGGCACTGTGGCCCTCAGGTCACAATTAAAGATATAAATGTTCAGAAGGCAGGGGGTTCAAAACAGCCAGCCTTGGCTGGGAGTAAGTGAGACGGCTGAGCTAGCTGCAGAGCCAGGGTACACGGTGTGCACACCAGCGTGGTGGGGGACAATGTGCCACCATCTTTGGCGGCCCTTTGGTCCTCAAATTTCATAGACCTAATGACACAGACCTTCCGGAACAGCAGGAGGCTCCTCAGAACACTCTGAACCTCTCGTAGTTTATGCAACAGTAGCTGCTATGAGCTTCACAGGATTAATCCTTGCACAACCACCCGTGTTAGAAGTGGGGAGACTGAGGCACCAAGCGGTATGCACCTAAACTGGGATTCAAAAACTGGTGAGGGCTGATAAATGGGTGGGCTACAGTCCCCAAGCATGTCCATTACACATCTGATGCTCTGACTGTGGGCTCCAATTAGCAGCAGCTGTAAACATCTCCAAATAAAATTTTGACTTTACCTCTGTGTTGCAGGCCTGCCATTTGTGAACCAGATGGGCAGTAGTGGATGGTGGTGCTCAGAGTTCTGGATGCCAGGGGGTTGATGGTGGTAGAAGCGGTCATCGGAGTGGGCACCCCACATAATTGCCCAGCCACATCACAGGATGGGGCTTCTCTCTTAAGACAACAGATACGAGTCTCCATAAGGCCCCCAAACAGCCAGCCTTCTAAGTTTTGTTTTGTGACAGTATATGATCCTAAGTCACCCTTCTAAGTGACACTGACAGTTATCTGAATCCCAGCAGCCCAACCAGGATTCCATGGTTAATGAAGCCCCCTTTGTTCTTTTCTTTAACAAAGTTGTCACCCAAATCCCTGTCTCCTGTCTGAACTCTCCACTAGGAAATATGTAAGCAATTAGTTTTCCACATGATACTGAAGTATGTAGACTTGCAATGAGAAATGACTCGAGGGCATTTTATTTGGCCAGAAATTGATAGAAATGTGGATGTTCCTACAAAACTCTAATTTGAGTCCTTTCTTATTTAAAATTCTCATGGAAATTAAACAGCATTTTTGTATGATTGTTATTGGACTTTTAGTTTTTTATGGTTGAATGTTTTATTTGAAAGTCTCCATAAATTCCTTTGTGAAGGGAGGTGGAGCAGCAAGAAGAGTGAAGGAGGAGAGAGGAACATAGCACAGGGCCTGGCTGCATGGGCCCAGAGCACAGGTCGGCTGGGCAAGGGAATGAGCAGATGAATGAATGGAATGATTGTCAATCAGGGGACATATGTCATCATTGCTCCTCCTTGTCACCTGCAAGATCATTTAGAAACCTCATGTGCTTGACTGAAACACCTGCCTGTTCAGGGCTCAGGGCCCTCTTCAGGGACTGGAGACTACCTGGGACCCGCCATAGAGCAGTGGCTGATGGGTATCAGATGTCCTGAGTCTGCGCCTACCCTGCCGGCCACCTGCTAGTTTATCAAGCCCTTCCATGTGGTTTCTTCCTGGGGTCAGGAGGCAGAGCAGGGATTGACATGCCCCACTTCTCTCAAGTGAGATTGCCCTTTAATGAGAGATACGGAGCTGGTCGGCACCATAAAATACTTTTGGTATGGGGGAAACAATAGGGCCATTTAACTCCCAAGATCCAGGGGCCCCTACTTTTGGCTCTTGTCCACTAGAAAAAAACTGACACAAGAACACAAAATCAAACATGGCACGTTCTCATTCATGGGCGGGTGTTGAATAATTAGAACACGTGGACACAGGGCAGGGACCATCACACACTGGGGTCTGTTGGAGGGACTAGGGGAGGGACAGTGGGGGGTAGGGAGTTGGGGAGGGATAACATGGGGAGAAATGACAGATATAGGTGACGAGATGAAGGCAGCAAACCACATTGCCATGAATGTACCTATGCAACAATCCTGCACATGTACCCCAGAACCTAAGTGCAATTAAATATTTTTTTTTAAAAAAAGAAAGAAAATTTGGGCAAAGAAGCAGAGAGAGAATTGGTTGAAAGCACCGATCCTCAATTAAACCCACTGACTTTTTCTACATGAAAAATCTGAGCATGAAGAAGTGAACTAAGTGTTGAGTGGGAAGTGTCTCAAAATCTGCGAACTGCCAAGACTTACTAAGAATCCCAAAGACTTCACCGAACTTACTGAGGGACAATGGTTGACTAGAAGCCTTCCAAGGACAGTGAG